TGGGTAGAGACGGTGGAAGAGGAGGCGGAGGCGGAGTACCCAGCCGCCCTCGAGGAGGCCCTGCAGCACGCGCTGGAGGCGAGCTCTCTCGAGGAGTTCGCCCATTGGGATGGGTTGGAGCAAGCCATTGCTTTGTCCGTGGTGGGTGACTCCGTCCAGGCGCCCCTGTTTGTGCCGGCGCCGCCCCTCGTCGAGCCCAAGCCCGAGCCGGAGCGCGAGCCAACTCCCACGCGCAAGCGTTCACCGCCGCTCCCCACTTGGCTGGAGGAGTCCTTTTTGTGGACCAGCCAGTACTGCGAGTGGGTGAGCGCGCCTCCCTACCAATACGCCGCCACGCCGGAAAAAGAAGCGACCCACCTTGAGCACTGGAAGGCGCACTGGCTCGCCGAGGAGCAGGCCGATAGCGAGCGGCAGATGCAATATGAGAAGATGTTGCGCCGTGACGAGGAAGCTCTGCGACTCGTGGAGGAGGAGGAGGAGCGCGCCCGCCTCGCCGCTATGCCGCCACTGCAGCAGACGCCAGAGAAGGCTGTCCTGGCATCCTATCAAGCCGCGTTCGGTTGGGCCAGGCCTCCACCCGTCTTCATTGTCCTTACCGGCGGCAAGGACGACGACGGCAAGGGCAAGGGCAAGGGCAAGGCGGTCTACTAGGGAAGTGTGCTGGCGGTTTATTAGTTTTTTTTTCCAGTTGTTTAAGTGGACTTTGGCCGGCGTTTGACCCGCTATTTATGTATAATTATATTTAATTAGTCAGCTTCGACCACATCGGCATAAATGGGTCCGCCTCCTGTTAGGCGTTCAACCCGACCCATTTCAAAAAGCAAACGCACACGTCCGCTTGACCGACCTAAACGGACAAAAAACGGACAAAGCATGTGTCCGTTTGGGTCACCTCGTTGAAGTTGCTCTTATAGCTTTGGCTGGGTGGAGGAACTAGGACTTCGGCACAATATATTTAGAGCCAAAATGGGGTTTGGACATTGTAGCAGAACCAAAATGTGTTTAGTTTAACAACACGTAATGCCTCCTACGCCATCGGTTTCATGTTCAAACCTGGAGAGAGAAAAATCTCCGAAAAGATCACCACGACGTTTGAGACTTGGCCTGTTGGTTACAAAATTAGAGTTTCAACAAAGTTTGCCGTCATCAATCTTAGAAAAAAAGGTTAGAAGTCAATCTGATGGTGACCTGGATGGCAACGAAATCATGATATTTTCCAAATGTAGTACTACCTCCGTTTCGGTTTATAAGTCCTACGCGTATACCTAGGTTGTTAATTTTATCATCCTAATATAAACTATATGACACAAAAATTATATCGTTGGAAAATAGAACATCTAAAATTTATATTGTTATATTTTTATAATATATTACTTGTATTAGGTTGGTCAAATTGACGACCTAGGGATACGCACACACCCTGTAAACTGAGAGAAAGGTCAACCATGTCTGCCTAGCGCGCGTGTCAGCGGCTTTATTGGATTATCTTAGAAACACATATCAACATATGACATTAGAAATTCAGATTTGACAACAGTCTGCAGTTTAACAACACTAGACGGTGTGCAAGAAATTGATGCTCAGCATGGACATGTAGTACTGCCGCTTTGATTAGCGGAATTAATCATCATTAATTAGCAGTTGACGGTGACCTGTTTATGGCAACCTAGTTGCTGCTTGCTTACATATGAATTCGATATAATACTCGTAGTTGCACGGAGCCGCCGCAGACTCTCCCTGCCGCGCCACTGGCAATCACCGATCTGCCGTTGCCTATCCCTCTGGGCCTGTACAAAGACGCCGCAGCATAGCCCCATCACCAAACCTCAATTCTACAGTCCCCTATATCTGATTAACATCAAGGTAAACAGGAAAGCAGCACAATCTAGGTTTTGTTTTACATTTTTTTCTTGTTCTTCTGCAATTTCTAAATTAGAAACCGTATTACTCTCAATATCTCATCAAGTTATGTATATAGTTTATGTTTTTCAAAAATAAAATGTTCATCTGCAACTTTTAAGTTAAAAACCGTATTACTCTCAATCTATCATCAAGTTATGTATACAGTTTACCTATTGGATTATTAGGCCAGTTCAAACTATTTTTTGTAACATATAAATTTTAGTATGCAACTTTGAATTACTAATTATGAAAAATTGGCTAGTCAGAGTGACATACTCCAATCCAATTCTGATAATCACCCTTCATCTCTTCATGATTTGTGACAATACTGTATGAAAATTCATTTAAGGTTTCCGTTTTGTGCACTTAAATTGCAGGGAAGCTAATATAGAGTTTTTTTTTTTAAAATCAACTACTTCTAAGATGCAAGGTAATGTAACCCAAGAAACAAGGTTTGCTAGCTTGAAATATATTGGTGATCTGGCTGAACTAATGGTGACTACAAAGAAGCATATTTCTCATCCTTTAGTCTATGGTGACTACAAAGACCATCGTGGCATGAAACGAAAGGTAATTTGCTAAAGCTCTGTTTCTTTTTTAATACTGGCCTTCTTTAACGTTTTTGTTCTCCCCCAATCTGATAACACTTCTTTTCTTGCAGTTTGTAGATTACATTGTTAGAACACTGTGTCAACATTCTATTTTGCAACTTCGGAACAAGATATTGTCATATTGATTCAATTAATTTTCTCTCAAATGGTTAGTTTTCTTTCACATTTTACTGATCTTTTACTTTTGAGATACTTGTCAGTAAACTTGGTTACCATGTGGAAAATTAAGTGATTATTAGTTAATTTGGATGCTTCTGACTTGTTGGTTCATAAAAATGAATATCCATTTTTGCCCCCTCTCAGTTTTGTTCCTGGGTCCGCCCCTGGGCATGTCGCTCTGCTCTTTTTTGATTGAATCCTGTTAGTTTGCATGGATCTTGAGTGCTCTATGTGGAAAAAATAGTAGTCCCAGTGAATCGCCTGGATTCATAAATAAGGGTTATCTCCAACGGATTCAGATGGTCCCTTCCTTGTTGACGTTTTCAATTTTGATCAGTATCAAAGCGGACACAAAAATGATGTCTTTGTATCTGCATATGAATCAAGTAATATAATAAATCTTCTATTTATTTCTCATACTGCATATGACATTTAACGCATTGTCCACGTTGTTTCTAGGGCTCACAAGATGGTTCTAGTGCTTCATAAGAGAGCAAAAATAATCGCATCGAACATGTATAAGGAGGCAGCGGATGAGTTGATAATGGTTGAGGTATATGTGATTGTTTTAGTCGTACTGTAAGAAGCATGTGCATCTTATTCACAAAAACGATGTGAGGTCCGTAAATGTGCAAAGATAGATTATGTTTGCAAATTACATACTGAAAATAAATTATTGAATAAAATTTATATTTTTTTATCTGTGAATAAAATTTGATATTAATATCATCATCAGCTGCATCTAGAAAGTTAGAAGATTTTTTTAAGGTAATATAAGGGGCCCTTTTTCTTATTTCACGGTCCCCGAAATCTCATGACCGGCCCTGAATACTCTGCTCTCTCTCTGACAGCATGGGCCCATGTGGCTCCTTCCTTCGACCGAGTCGAGGCGAGCGACTCCTCGACCAACTCCCGCTGACTAAAAGCTCGCTCGGCGGAGGCGGCGACGGAGACTGGTGACATCGAAGGCAGGCGCAGGTAGCGTCGGCAACGGCGGTCTTAGACGGCGAATCCACGGTACCTCTGCTCCCCCTACCGTTCATCTGCTTCTCTCCGTCTACTGTGATGCGACCTAGGGCCAGGGAGATGGGACCGGTGGATGCCTTACGTCGCCGGAGTAGCGAGCCACACGGTCTATCGGGCCGGTGGAACCCGCGACCGGACGGCAGCGGAACCGCCGCGCAAGGAAGAGGGGGAAGGAGTTTTGAATTTTGATGATGCAGACTCAGGTTGCAGCAAGTTGAAAACCGAAGAATGTCGGACATGAAGGTTCAGAGCTGAGACTTCAAGTGTCAGTTTGCATGCCATTCCCTTGTGGCATAGCATAGGAGGATCTCTTCTTCACTCCGGCAAGCACCAGATCACTCCCCGGTTTTCAGACAGTTGCCCTCTGGATTGGCGTTGGAATCGATGTTTGTTTGAACCTGAAATGATACTCCAAGTTGGTCAGCAAGGGCATCGCTGCTCATCTCCAAGCTGTGGTGAAATGGTCCTCTATACCTGACTGATTCCATGGCCACTTGAGAAGATCACTCAGTTCTGCTTCAGCGGTTCCCTGACGCAGCTGCTTGGGGGATGTCACACCCCTATAGATGCGTCTAGCAGCGTGCCCAAGATGGTGGATACGGGACGGGGCACCAGCGTCTGAGGCAAAGAGGAGCAGAGGAAGCAGAGCAAAGTGTAACTGACGAAAATGAAGGTGTGTATGGTCATCCAACGGAAGGCGGGAAAGGGAGGGCTGCCCGAAAACTGAAGGATGTCGAGCAATGTTCAGAGTTCAGACATCAGACCCCTCGTTGCAGGGCATCCCCTTCTAGCGCAGGAGGATCTCTCGAGTCTTCAACACTCCGTGCAGCACCATAATGCTCGCAGCGATGAACAACAACCTGCCATTGGTGCATCCCGGCAAATCGCACGGGTGACATTTAGCTTCATCACTCCCCGTTAGCTGATTACCCTCCATGGCCTCTGAATCCTTGATCCTTGGCTCACACATTACTGCTGATCTGTTATCACAGAGTCATCCAGTGGAGCACATGCCCAGGTTGCCATAACTCATAAGGTACATAGGCTACATACACATTCCAGGATATAGGTACAAGTGACAAAGGTATCGACAAATACAATCAGGTTTTGATAAATGAACAACTATTGAGTCCAAATGGAAAAAAATAACTGCCAGGTCTCTCGTCTCCCAAATGTTTGGGAAATTGAAGTTTGGAAACAACGGAAATAAACACGACATGCAATTGGTTGAAGCAATTATACAAATTTAGACGACACTGCGCGGCTACGGAAGCATGGCTCAAATATTAAAGCTTCATTGAGCTACTCTGCAACTTCTTCAATCTCGTTGGTCCCGCTGCAGCTAGCAATAGCACTGCAACTCTGATGAAGGCCTCCCTCTTGTGTGTCTTCTTCAGTCTCAGTCATCCTACTGCAACTGGCAACTCTGTTCTCTTGGAAAATCTCAGTCTTCGTGTTGCAGGTACCATTTTTCTCTTCTTCAGCAATGCACAGAGTGATCTCGTTCTGGTGCTCCTTACACTCAGCTTCTTGTTTAATCTCAGTCATCCTACTGGAGCTAGCAATAGTACTTCTGCTCTGATGAATGCATCCCTCTTGTGTGAAATCGCGGTCGAAGATAGCAGTCCAGCCAGCATGCCAATCTTCTTGTTCGATCTCAGTCGTCATCCTAGTGCACCTAGCATCTTTGTTTTCTTGAAAAACCTCAGCAGTCTTCG